TTTTTTAAGATGTATTTTATAATTATTGTCATAATAAATTCAAAATATGAAGACATATTTTCATAATTATTGTTATATTTTTGTAATTAATAAATGTTAACATCATTATTTTTTAAGATGTATTTTATAATTATTGTCATAATAAATTCAAAATATGAAGACATATTTTCATAATTATTGTTATAATAAATTCAAAATATGAAGACATATTTTCATAATTATTGTCATATTTTTGTAATTAATAAATGTTAATATCATTATTTTTTAAGATGTATTTTATAATTATCATCATAATGAATTCAAAATATAAATACATATTTTCATAATTATTGTCATATTTTCATAATTAATTAATAAATGTTAATTAATTTTGATTATTTTTAAGATATTTTTAATTATCGTCATAATGAATTCAAAATGTGAAGATTTTTTTTTTGTATAAAAAGATTGAATTTTTTACATAAATAATGTAATGGATAATGTTCAGAAAACTCAAGATATTTGTGAAGAAAGTGAAATATCTTTATAAAGAAATTCCAAGAAACATTCAAGAAGCCACAGATCATATTCACAAGATGATTATCCAAGTAATCAATGGTCATGTTCACAGGATGATTATTCAAGTAATTGACGTTTAGATTCGTGGGGTCATTAAAGTTATCGTCATTGACATAGGCAAAATGGGTCTCGACATAGACGAAATTCAGATCATGAAGAATCTCAATATGATCGTAGAAGTCAACGTTCTCAATTTGTATTAGAATTTAGGAGAGATAAAAGTGTTGACGATAAATCGATTGAAGAAATTGATTATGAAATAATGGATATTCAGGGAGTGATGAGATGTTTAAAAGAGAGGGTGACATATCTTAGAAAAGAAAAAAATAAAAGGAAAAGGCATGCAATTAGTCAACGATTAGTTAAATGTTTAAACGAATTAGAAAATTTTGAATGAAAAAAAAAATATAAAATAATAAAAAATAAAATAATAAAAAAAAATATAAAAAAAAATAATATAATATAATAAAAAAAAGAAAGTTGAAAAGAAGGAGCAAAGAATATTAATAATAATAAAAATAATAATATAAAAAAATAATATAATATAATAAAAAAAAAGAAAGTTGAAGAGAAAGAGCAAAGAATATTAAAAATAATATAAAAAAATTATTAAAATTGTTTGTTTATTTATTTTATTTTAGATTCAATCGATGCTATTTTTTTTTTATTCTTCTTTTTTTTTATTCTTCTTAAAGAATAGAAGAAAAATTCAGAAGAAAATTCAGAAAATTAAATTGAAAAAAAAAGAAGAAATAAAAGAAGAAGATAAAGTAAAAAAGATTGAAATATCTTATTGATTTAAATGAAAAAAATATATAAAATAAAATAAATAAATATATATATAGTTGAAATATCTCTTTAATTTAAATGAAAAAAAATGTTATTATCTGATAAAGTTTTTAATATGCCAGAGTTAAATGCATTAATATATTTTTACTTAAATAATATTTTTGATCATTTGAGATATAGATTAGTATATAAATGTTTTAAAAGTATTAGTGATACATATGGAAAAATTATTTTATTTTCAGTTTATTTGGATTCTACTTTTTGTATAAATTTTAATTTAGAAGAATCCTTTAAAATTATTTCGAAAGATTTAATATGTACAGATAATTGTATAAATGGTTTTAAACCTTTACCTTTTATTATTCAATTTAAAAATTATAATATTGATCAAAGATTAGAAATTGTAAATGATTGTGATATAGGGATTTATTGTTGTAATGATCCTAATAATTTAGGAGAAAAACTTTTTTTAAATACAAAAAATTTTATTAGAGATTATGGTAAAGGGTACTGTGAAGATTGTTAAAAATATACGTATGTTTATTCAGATAAATGTAAGTATATTTATTATATTTATACAATAATATATAATATATTAATTTAACTTAATAATAGATATCAATTATTTTAAATATGCTTTAGAAACATTAGAAGATTGAAAAGTTAAAAATACTCTAAATATATATAAATGTAAATATCATATTTTACTAGAGTATTATATCCTAACATTTTTAATATATTAATTTTGATATAGTTTAACATATTAATATTTAAATTTAAATTTCTGAAAAAATCTAGATTTTTAATTTGTATATCATAAGTGTATTTAAAAGCAATTAATATTGTTCCAATTAATAATAAATGTGGATTTTTAATTAAATTATATAAATATTTATTAGTTTTAAATATATCAACATTGATTATTTCATTATTTGTTGATAATATTGATTTACTATATAAAATAATTGGATAATAGGTACCATTTAAGATATTTTCATAATTTTTATTAATAAATTTGTCTATTTTGGTCATATAATGAAATGCCATAATTAATATGTCATCTGGACATCTTGTTTGATTCAATATGTATCTTATTTTTTGAATATTTATTTCTTTATTGTAATTTTCTTTTAATAATTTGAAGATTTTTTTAACATTGTGACTCATTTTTTATTTTGTTTTATTTTTTTATTTTTTTGATATTTTATATACTGTATTTATATATTTTGAAAACTCTTTCCGACTTCCCCCTACTTCGTGAAAATTTCCTTTTTAGAAAGTTTTCTTTTTTCCCCTTTCCCCCTTCTGTCCTCTATACGAGAATACCAACCATGTAGTGAACAAAGTCTGAGTTGTACTGACACCACATGAGTAATGATAGGTCCCTAAAGTATTTAGCATATAAAATTTTGCAGATCACTTATGTCCCTTTTTGAGGGACAAAATTCATAGCTTTTCACTTTAATAGGGACAAAAGTCAGGAAATGCTATAAATCAATGATTTGGATAATGAAGAACAATTGTGGGTAGTTTTTTTATAGTTATTAATTTAAAAATTTTAAAGTTTCCTAGTGAGGGACATTTGACTTATGTCCTTGCCTTCCCCTTTAGGGACCCATCTTTACATATAACCCCAATAATTAAATCAAAGACCATAGTATTTAACATAATGTTTAAAATATATTATGGATACTATTAAAAAAAGAAATATGTAATATAATACAAGGCCTAAAGTTAATTTATCAGAATATAAAGACAAGATAAATAAAAGATACTATTAAAAAGGTCTAAGAACAAAGATATGATAATTTGTAAAATAATCAATAAAGAATAGTAAACTTTTTGATAAATAGAAAGCAAATTAAAATAGTTCTAAATAGAGTCAAAGCCTAAAATGAGAAAAATGACTATATAACAACTATAACAACTAGAAAGAATGAAATAAAAAAAGATATAAGAAATTACTATCAAGAAGTATTTAAAACTAAAATACTAACTTCGATAGACTAATAGAAAACTGAAAAGAAGAATATAGTTTCAGAAGCTATATCAAAGAAAAATAGTATAAAGATTTCTTAAAGTCAATTTTTTAAGAAAAACTAGACAAAACACTTGCATGTTTTCAAATAATAAAGCTCTAGGAAAATCACAAATTAGTTATAAAATATTAAAAAGGTTGGATCAAGAAGAAAAAAACTACTTAATGAAAATTTTTAACTGCTTTTTAAAATGAAAAGTCACCCATATAGTTGGAAGTAAAGTTATATATATTTTATAATGAAACCAAAACTATGGAAATGTAAACTTATCAACATAAAACCAATAGTATTGCCAGAAGTTATACAAAGTACTTCATTAAGATTCTCACAAATAGACTAGAAAATATCTGCAAAAGTAATAATATCCTGAGAGGTTTCAACTATACAGGATTATCAGGAAAAGGTATAGCAAAATCAATATAAATCCTTAATAATATCTGTAAAGAAGCAAGAGAAAACAAAAAGAAGTTATAGATATTTTTTCAAGATATAGCAAAGACATATAATATGATCTATCTGAATATGTTAGTTAAGGTCATAAAAAAAATCAAAATTTTAGAGGGTTTATCCAAATTGTAATAAGTTTAATTTATAATAAAGAGTTTAATATGATACTGTATATAAAAAAGATTCAATAGAAGCAATTATTGTAGAAAATAGAATTGATTAAGAAGAAACTATTTTATTTCTAATGTCAAGAATATTTTATGATCCTTTATTATATAAGATACAAACAATGAAACAAAAGGATACAAAATGTTAGTTACTAGAAATCCAGATTTGAAAGGAAATAATAGTAGAAAGTTAGAGTCATATCATATAGTGATAGCCTTTATGAATAATACCATATGGATAATATATTCAAAGAAAGATATGAAAAAAATATTAGAAGAAGCAAGAATATTTTACAGGACAAATGACTTTTAAATTAATAGTAATAAATTAGTTCTAGTTATTATTAACAATCCCAACTGGTATTCTGAGAAAGTTCAAGTAGGAATCAATAAATAAATAGTAAGATAATTGAATAGAATAAAATATGCAAGGTTTCTAGGAATCTGGATAAACAATAAAAAAACAAGTATTTAAGGAAATCAATATGATTATTAGAGCTATAAAAAAATAAAAAGCTAATGAATAAACAAGCTCTTCATATTTTGAATAGAGTGCTAATATCAAGAATTGAATTCATAATACAATATAGTATACTGTCATTAAAGATATTGTGTATAACATCTTAATAATGGCATATAAAAAACTATTAAAAAATAAGACCATATTATTTTAATTAATATCCAACAATATAATACACTATCTCAAGATTTATAACTTAAAGAGTATTTGAATATTACAAAAAAAAAGTCAGATAATAGGACTGTGTAATAGATTAAATAATCCAGGAATAACTATAATCACAATAATTATTAGACTCAAGTAAGAATAAGTCAAATACTGGAAGTTTGTTAATATGCTTACATGTAACTTATTGAATAATTTTCCAAGAAAGAGTAACTTCTTATTGCAAGTACTAAAGCTAATAAAAATATAGGCATGGCCTTTTAAAGTTAGAAATAGAATAACATTTTTTGAATAAAACCAAGAAAATAGTTCAATTAAAGAATATTTGTTAATAGAAGAATATAAGAAAACAATTTTGTTACTCAAAAACAATAAGCTGATATATATAGATCAGCTAGTTGATTATGAAACAAGAGAAGTATAAAATTGGCAAAGGCTTTAACTTTTACAGAAAATAAGTAAAGAACATATTTCAGGATGGTACCTATCTATTATTGTGATAATTTAAGAAAATAAATTAAAATAGCTTATAAAATCCTGGAAAGAAAAATGCATAAAATAGAGTTTAAAGTATTCTATTCACAACTTCAGCTTTGACAAATAACAGAAACTTTGGATAGTTACAAGAAGCAAATTTCAGTATAAATAGATAATTTGAGAAAAATTGATTCTAGATAATACTAAAAGATATCTTAAAATAGAACACTTTGAATATATATCGGTAATGTTGAGTTCCTAAAGTATTTATTATATAAAATTTTGCAAATCATTTATATCCCTTTTAAGGGATAAAATTTATAGCTTTTCACTTTAATAGGGACAAAAGTCAAGAAATGCCATAAATCAATGATTTAAATAATAAAAAATAATTATAGATAGTTTTTTTATAGTTATTAATTAATAATTTAATATTTTTTAGTGAGAGACATTTGACTTTATTTTCTATCCTACTCTTTAAAAACCTATCTTTATATATTAGCCTTGTTAAAAATCAAGAATCAAAACCAGTTCAATATCAAAGTTGTAAAAAAGATACAAAGATAGAAGACTAATGTATAGTGTAGCAGGCTAATTGG